GTCATGAAAATTAAACCTTATTTTCAATAAGCAATCCTGAAAAATATTTGGGGGTGCTTAACTTTTTTTCCAGGTGTATATATGATAGTTTTGTTGAAATACTTAAAAATGTGAATTACATCAGAAAATTTAGCTATTTTAGAGTAGACATAAAAGAGTACGAATAAACCCCAAAATAAAATCCTCCTATAGATTTAACTATTGATTTTTATACAAATGAAAATTAACAACAGCACCAGAATTACACTACAGTACAAAAGTTAACGTATAAGTTTATTATACAAAAGCAAATAAATGTTTTCTGACGTTTGTTTCATGTTGCAGCATCGTGTATTTCTCAAAAGCAGAAGTTAACAACTTTTTATGTTTAATTGTTTGTATTTGATTTCCCTTTCAAAGGCAGATCCTGGAAATATAAAAGTTCACCTAAACCTCCTGATTTTCTTCGAACAGTTTGTATGATCAAAATACGAAACTTTATTACCCATTTTCTTTATATTTATTAACCAAAAATGATTAACTGGTTTATTTACTGGTTAATATCTCATTTGCCACTTTCTGTAAGCCATTATCGTTATCAAATATGAAAAAAAGTGTTATTTCATTAAAACAAGACCATCAAAATAAACACACGGGAAACTTTCACTCCCTTATCATTAGTTATGATGTGCTGCCATCTAGAATGAATTATATGTAACTTTTTCCCTTGACGCTGAGAATGTGAATGATAAAATCGCAGCTTTAATTTATTTTTTATTTTAGCTTGAGGTAAGCACTCTGAATTTTTTATGGTTGAAAAGAAAACATTTTCAGTAAATTACATTTGGTTTATTTTAAGCAATGGAGAGTTATAAACAATTGAATAAGCCCTGATAGAAACAGTGTTCAAGTTCACTGAATTTTATAACGTGTCTCCCTGTGGCACAGCAGTAAATCTACAGACTTACAACAATAAAATCTGGAGTTCAATTTCTCGCGGTAGACACAGCAGCTAGCCCAATGTGGCTTTGTTCTATAACAAACATTTTTTTTATAACTTGCAATAGCTTTACGTCATGGGTGTAAAGTAAAACGCCCCACTTCCACCTGCGGAGCCGTCTTACCCTACAGTAATGACTTATTTTTACGCTACATATTTCAACCGGAATGTACGTCATTGCCCCACACTAGTACGCACGTTCTTTTACACAAACGTTTTAGATAATGTGCAATTTGTGCATGGCGAAGGGCGTTCTAGATTCTTGCAGGGACATTTAAATGATGATTTAAGTTATTTAAGTGTAGTTGTTACATGTAGCATTTATTTTAAACTTGCAGTTCTTATGAGTTAAACGGGTACTATTTTTCCCCACTGTGGGGTCAGTTTTATCCAATATATTTTTAAAATATCTAAAAGTGGTTTATATCCGATCGTTGGTTTCACTAAAAATTACATTTATAATAAAACAGGGTTCGTTCTAAAACATTTAGATTTTTTATGCCATTCATCTTGATGGAAACCGCATTCAATGTTAAGGAGACTATCTTCCTTAACAAACATATATACATAAACTAGGTAACTGTCTTTCATGAAGATGAAAAATAGCATTTAATTTATGAAATTAACACTTATGACACACATGTTAAGTATATTCCCTCTTGCTTTACCATTTTTGAATATTCATTGACTTGGAATGTTAAATTTATGAGACGTAATCATTCGTCCTAAAATAAGAAAAACGGAGAATTAATTTAATATGAGACGCAATGCTTGATTTATGTATTTAAAGAAAATATATTATTTATTAGATTGGTCATTATGGGACAGGTACGAAAGTAATTTGTGTCTCATCAATATGCACATGAAGAATCTGATGTAAAATACACTACACACGTTCATGAAAGGGACAGAGTTAATGAAGGTTAATATATACAACTTAAAACAGCATTTATTACTTTTTATTTTATTATCAGGACCTGAAAGAGATTTCGATTTCACTTCATTTATTTTTGACTGTCAACCATGGATTCTGTTTATTTGTATTTTAACAACATTACATTAAAAAAATTCTATGTGGATATTTAACGAGACGAGACACAGAAATATATATATATATATTCACCAGTGGCTGCTTGGAGTTTTTAAACTTATAAGGATATATATATATATATATATATATATA